ATAATGGGTCTCATTACCCTGAAGAAGCCTCCAATGTGGCACCTGCTAAAATCTCAGGGCTAGGAAGAATGGAGACATTACTGGTGCCTGCTTGCAGAAATCAATGAACAACAGGATGACAGAGATACAGTGACAGTGATACTAGCTGAGGAAAAGAGAAAGCAATACACCCTGGATGGAATCCCACCCTTGAGAGGATCTTTTAGAACTAGAGTGCTGAACCCTCAGGTGAGATTTTGTCCTTGTGTTAATTTCCTAGAACTTCCCCTGAAGGAGGGGTTTTAGATACGTTTGTTGTTATGACAATGTTCAACCCCACCTATATGTACTTCCACTCTTCATGATTTCTATATAACTATGCTGTAAGGGGAAAGAGGGAGGAGACTAAAGATAAGAAAAGAGAAGGGACTACACTGGGGAGAAAGGAAAAATTATTATGCTATAAGGGAAGGGAGAATCGAACTATATCGGGAATGAGAGCGAAATAAACTGACTACCGACCATCCCAGGACTCTGTTTTTCTGTTTCCCCGAGTCCTTCATCCGTTTGTCTGTCACTGTGGGCCAGCTAGGGGAATGGTTCTCAGTCACCAAAAGCTCGAGTCCTGCATGCCCTCGCATCTCTGAAACTCACACCGCACATTTACTCACTCCTAAAATGCTCTCTTCTGTGATTTGGTATTTCTCCTGACTTATAGTGTTCCACCAGAAACATCACCATGAAATCTTGCAAGGACCATCTATTTACCATTGTAAACATACTCTCCATCTGAACTCTCCTTTATCTTACTGTCCTCCCTCTTTTAGAGTTAATTTTCCTGAGTGTTTTAAAAATAATAATAATATATACATATATGCATATATATGTGTATTTATGTATCCTCTAGAATACAGACAAGATAAAAGTAAGAATTTTTTATGATGCTTCCCTAGTTCCTAGATAAGTGCTGTCATGAAATAGAGCTTTAGTAACTTTATGGAATGAATGAGCTTCTCCACGGTCATAGCACTATTTCAGTGGTACCACTGGAATTTTAAACCTACCTGATTCAGAAGTCTGAAAATATAACTGGAAATCACATAGTAATAGTAGCAAACAATACAAACCTGTGATGATTCTAAAACATTTCTCTAACATAAATAATAAACCTCACATAGAAGTAGGGAAAAAAGTCAATCTTCATGTACTTGTTACAGAAACAAGAATTAATATTCCTTACAAAAAAGTTATTAAAAATTCATCTTAGTACTGGGGCAGCTGACCATCTTTACAACTGTAATTTTTGTAGAAAATTACAAAATTGTGTTTCTATATAAAACAGAACAGGGTTGATTAGTGTTACCAAAGAGACAAGAACCCTCACACACCGTTGGCAGGAAAGTAAATGGGGCACCCTCACAGGAAGCATGGAAGGACAAAGGATGGAAGAAGACTGTGAACAACAGTATGGAGATTTATCAGAAACATAGCTACCACATGATCCAGCAATTCCACTCCTTCCTAGGTATTTATCCAAGAAATTTAAAAACACTGATTCAAAACAGCATGTGCTAACCTGCATTCATTGAACACTATTTGTAACACCTAAGATCTAAAAGCAACCAAATCACCCAACAGGACATGAGTGGATAAAGAAGATGAGGTCTATATGTACAGTGGAAATCTACTCAGTTATTAGAAAAGATCAAATCTTGTCTTTAGCTTCAACATGGCTATCATGCTAAGTAAATAAGTCAGAAGTGAAGCAGGGAGTAGAGTAGGATGAGCACTGGAAATGAGTTTCTAAGGAGACCAAAAAAGAACAAGAAGTGGATTCAAGAAATGACTCTTCCATCAACCTCTAAAAGCAAGAAGACTGGACGCTCTGAGCTGCAGGAACAAAGTCTGTGTTACAGCCCTAGAAACAATCCAGAAAAAGCTAGATCCCACCTCACACACTGCCCTGTGGAGAAGCGCTGCTTGAGCAGGAACAGAGGGCTATAATAAAAATATGAGACCACCAAAAGTTCAAAGTTCTTTTCAGACAAAATCCTACAACCCATTATTATCTACAAGCTGGGGCAGTTTGGGGAAAACCCTATAAAGCTAACTTTGCAAACATGACAGTGCAAATAACCACTCTGAGGTAGCCTGCATGCCTCTGAACATGGGATATGTATCCTCTGCTCTCTCCCCTCTAGAGAAGCCAGAAGTTTCGACTGAATATGGTATTCTCCACCCCCACCCTTTCCCCTGCTACTACCTCCCACTCTCTTCACTTCTCCCACAGACAAGACATCATCTGACAAGACACCCAGGAGAACATGATTTGGGAAACCACTCAGGAAACCTATGTCAGAAAGAGAAAGAAAATTAAAAAAAAAAAAAAGAAAAGAAAAAAAAGGATTCCATTTGTGGGATACAGAGAAGAAAAGTATAAAACACACAAAACTAAAGGGAAACAGCGCCCTGTACTCAGTGGAAGAACTGGAGGGGAGGGTATCGTTCAGTGCAGGAAGGGGGTATGATCTACTGTAAGGAATGCTTGGTTGTGTCTATAGAGTGGTACCAAACCTTGATGAGGCATGAGATTGTGCCCCGCAAACATACACAGTTATATGAGCTAATGTTATTTCAACAATAATGATTTAAAAATGTTTGCGGAGTCAGAAAGTTCACGGGTCAGTCATTTTTGGTCTCTATCCCACTATCATTTGATAAATATAAAGTCTTCAAAATGTGCTATTTTTAAATCCCTATGCAAAAAGAATAACTGATGCCATTCATTTTTCTGCTTGCCAAGTATTTATTAATCACCTGTTCAGACCAGGCACAGTGGATACAGCAGTGTACAAAACAATGCATCTTAGAAGGGAAATAGTATAATTAAAATAAAATAAGGAATACATTAGTGTAATGAATATATTAGCCCTTTGAGCTCTCCCCTGGCTCTCACACAGGTATTTTATTGAATCACCATGAGATAGAGCATCACGAAGTTGTTCATGACTGCATTTCAATCATACAATATTCCAACACCCATCCTTCCATTGGTGTAATTTCCCAGCACCAGTGTCCACAGTTTCCCTCCCACCCCTTCAAGCCACCTCCCACCCCTCTTCTCTTTCTCTCTCTCATTTTAGGCATTGTGGTTTGTGATAAGGATGCTAAAAGGTTATCATATACATCCCTTTACCTACTTTCAACACACATTTCTTGTGCAGAGTGACCATTTCCCTCTAGTATTATCATAGTGGATCCTCCTCTATCTTAACTATCCTCTATCTTGCACACCACTTACCCATCAATGACCAATCCTCCTGGTCTGTTTTTCCTGGTCTTGGGTATTAGTTTCATACTGATTTTTTTATCTTCCACAGATGAATGCAGTCATTCTATATCTGCCCCTCTCCTTCTGACTCTTTCACTCAGCATGATACTCTCTAAGTCTATCCATTTATAGGCAAAAATTCATGACCTCATTTTTCCTAACAGCTGCGTAGTATCCCATTGTGTAGATGTACCAGGGTTTCTTTATCCATATGTCTGTTCTTGGGCACTCAGGTTGTTTCCAGATTTTTGCTATTGTGAATAGTGCTGCAACGAACACAGAGGTATAGATTGTGTTTCTGCTGTGTTTTAGGTTCCCCAGCGTAAATTCCCTAAAGTGATATTGCTTGGTTGAATAGGAACTCAATTTGTAATTTTTTGAGGGATGTTCATATTGTTTTCCAAAAGGACTAGACCAGTCAGCATTCCCACCAGCAATGAAACAGGGTATCTTTCTCTGCACATGTGCGCCTGCACTGGTTGTTCTTGTTCATTCATGTATGTGCCAGTCTCTGTGGTATCACACAGTCATTGTTACGACAAGGATCAAAAAGGCCTCTTGCATGCAAACACGGCATAATGCTATTCTATCCCTGAGCACCAGGTGTAGAGAGGGAAATACTGGTTTTCCCAGATAGTTCAGAGTAGACTTTTTTAATAGTGATGAAGACCTCTCACTCTAGTCTGAGGATCAAGTCTGAATCTCTACTACAAACAAGGCCCGACTCACAGCAAGTTTCAGCTTCACTGAGATGGAGAACAGAAGTCATCTTGCAAAATTGGTGTAAAGAAAGATTTGGAATTTGCGAGAAAAGACTGATCATACTGAAGGGCAAATAAAGTAAATCACAAGGACACCAATATTTACCATGTTCTATCATGCGAGGCCCCTCTAGTGATGTTTTTGAATTCGAGACTGATAGAATAGGAAAATCCACTATCAAAGACAAAGCTGCTAAGGTGAAGGAACAGAAAAGAAGAAAGAAGTTGCAAAGAGCAAGTCCTCAGGAGTCTGTTAGTGTCGCCTCATTCTGGTTCCCAAATGTAATGCCCTTGATAGAATTTAAGCGCTTTGCAAGCAAGAAATCCCAGAAAACTGTTTCCAAATAAAGCAGTGACTATGTCAGGATCATAAATATCCTCCCTACATCCTTTCCTACACAGCAGGCTGGTTGCCTTCTACAATTGACAGATCACCCAAGTGAAGGGGACCTCCTTCCTCACTACGATCGCTTGCTCACAAAACTGTCTCCACGATCTTCCTGGCTCTTTAGCATCCTCTGAACTACTTAACAGTGATGTGTTGATGCGTCATCTATTCCCATGGGAACTCTATCAGCACTCGTGTAAGCACTGTCCTCCTTGTTTCCCAGCAGGAAAAAAAAAAATTACAGTAGAAGTGTTACACAACGGCATACCCCTAACTTGTTTCTGATTTCTTTGTATTGGGGAAATAAACGAGCATCGAAGGAAGGCGAGATCTTGGTGAAAGCCCATTCCCGACCCACACTAGAGTTCAATCCCCTCGATCTCAAGCTCAGTGGCTTTGCCCGGCTGGGTCCTGTCCATGTAGCCCCGCCCCATCCCTCTGGCCCCGCCCCTCACTCCGCCCTGTTCCCCCGATTTCATTGGATTTCATTCTGATTGGGCGGGACTTTCTCACCGCCTCCCTGCTCGCCCCGCCCATTCACCTGCTCCCCTCTCGCCTTCCAGCAGGGGGCGCGCTTCCGAGGGCCGCGCCTGGGCTGCCGACTCCCTCAGCACCGCCAGCACCGTGTCCGGGGGCAAGTCGACCTGTTGCTTCCACACGGACTCCGTGTAGAAATCCACCGTGTGCGCGTTGGAAATAGGCAGGGCTTCTCTCAGGAAGCGCATCAGCCCCTGCAACTTGGCGCACAACGTGGCCAGGTCCGGCGTCCCCGGGAGCGGGCCAGAAGCCGCCATGACGCTCGGAGCCTCCCGGGCTGTAGGTGGCGCCTCGGGTTCCGCGGGGCGAGGAAGCGAGGGGCGGGAGGGGGAAGGAGCACAGGCGAGACGAGTCGAGCCCCGAGCAGCGGGAGCGCGGCCGCCGGAGCTCGATTGCTTCGGCGTGGGTGACGCGTTTCGACGGCGTCTGCAGTGGGTTTCGTTCAGCCCATGGCGCCCGCGAGGCCCGGAGCGCGCGGCGGCGGCGGCGGTGGCGGCGGCGGCACTGGCAGTCAGGCCACACGTGGGCAAGAACTTTCTGCCAGATTCAGGGCTAAGGATGGGAAGCGGAGGACGTGGCGACCCCACCCCGCGCAGAGCTTTGCCGGCAGCGTTCGCGAAGGTACGTGGAGTGCTCGGGTTTGCGCTCCGGGGGCGCTGGGAGTGTGTCAGGAAGCGGACCCTGTTGGAGAGCCCAGGACATCTCTGGGCAGTCCGACTAAGTTGGTTAAGTCGAGACTGTTACTGATGCTGAGTATTTAAACTGCTCCTCCTCCGACATCACCCCATAATTGTGCAGAGCCCCTTTGCACTGCCCCGCCGACTTCAGCTATGGTGCAGAGCCCCTTTGCTCCACGTTTCTTCCACGAAACCCCAAGCGGGCAGCGTCTGTGCGTCCTTTCTGAGTTTGTATTTTGCTTAGGATTACCCTAGAGCACTCCGACCGCTCTCACTGAGCTTCCTTTCCTTGCTCTTGTTTTTGTGGCCTTGTGTCTTGGTGTCTTGGTAGTTCGGAGTGCACTTTCTGGGCATTGATAGCTGTTGAGAATGTCCTACGTTTCCCCCCGCCTCCCCACCCCCAGTTTCATAAGTAACAATTTTGTGGTGTTACTTTGGAAAGTCAGTGGTATAGTAGTAAGTTCCTCTAAAGTAAACGGATAGTTACGAGCTGGTGGGGGGGCGGGGTGGAGGGCTTAGGTGTTTATCGAAGACCTAGATTGTGTCTTACATAAATTAAGATTTTCTTCAGAATTTTTAGTACCATGAACCAGTTTTGCAGCAGCCCAGTTTTCCACTTTTGAGATTCTTTATCTGCAGGACTGTTTTGCCTAGCCCTTGTTGCTGCTGCTGCTGTTTTAAGAACCAGCATAAAATTCATGACATTAACATAACATTTTTTGTCTTGAAATAATCTTATAAAGCAAAACCAAATAATTATGGAGTCTGTGATTGAACAGTAGAAATTTTTATGCACCTTATTTCTCCTTTGAGTGGTTTGTCTTTGGTGTTATTCAATGTAGGACAGGGCTTTGCGTTTCGAAGAAAACTGAAGATTCAGAAAAACTACAGGAAATTGATCCGGAAAGAAAAGAAGGCGCAGACTTCGCAGGAATCCCAGTTCACGGACAGATACCCAGATCATCTGAAACATCTCTACTTGGCAGAAGAGGAAAGACTTAGAAAAGAAAGGAGACTTAGAAAAGTTGGACAGTCTTCTTCCCAGGAACAAGCCAGTCAGGTTTTGCCTGAAGAAGAATGTAACAGTGACCAGGCTTTGTCTGAAGAACATTCTAGCAGTGATCAGCCTCAGAAGGCTGAAGAACCTGAAGAACAACTTGATGAAAGAGTTAGGTATGTATTGTCTCCTTTTGAAGTTCATTGTTTAAATTTAGTAGGTATTTTATGAAACATTACAGACGGTTGATATAGACAGACTTTCTTCTTTAAGGAACTTTAGAATTAGTCACTGTATAATTGGGTGAGTAGTTCACAGAGGTCTGATTTTAGCCATTCGGATACATGTAACTTCCTTGGACCAAGACTAACACCTGCTTCAGTGGTCTTAGTATGATACAGATCCTAAAAGATAATATGTTGGGTAACGTACTTGCATGCTGAGGACCTGGACTTATCCCAGCACAGCCAAGTGTGATCCTAAACAAAGGATGCAGCAGTGAAGGAGTTTTAGCAATAGCACAGCAGGTAGGGCATTTGCCTTGCACGCGGCCAACCCAGGTTCGATTCTTCTGCCCCTCTCAGAGAGCCCAGCAAGCTGCCAAGAGTTTCTCGGCCACACGGCAAAGCCTGGCAAGCTACCCTACGTATTTGATATGCCAAAAACAGTAACAACAAGTCTCACAGTTTGGTGTGAGACGTTACTGGTGCCTGCTTGAGCAAATCAATGAACAGCGGGAGGACAGTGCTATAGTGCTACCTTGTGTAAGGCTTACTCTGTATTATCCCCAACACTGCTTATTTTCCCCCAAGCACCAGCAGAGTGAGCCCTGAGCACAGAATCCAAGTGTAATCCTGGAGCACTGTCCAGTATGACACAAAAACAAAACAAATTAGCACTAGAAATAAAGATTGAGTCATTCCCAAAGATAAAGAGTGAGAAAGGTTAGGTAATAAAACCAGGTTTTTTAAAAGTTTTCCATGAAGTCAAAAAAAAAAAAAAGCCCAAAACAAGCCTTTGACTCTAATGGCACAAATCATGGGTGAATTTGGGGGAAAGAATTTTAGTAGATATCCTTGATGAAATTTTCAGTCATGTGTACAGCATCCAAAGCCAATGTCACCAAAACCAATGTCATGGGATCTGACTGCTTCAAGAGTATGAAGATCTGGGTTTTTCTCATCTGTTTCTATTCTTGGTATTCTGGTAAAAACTTTGGAAAAAGGCATTTGAAGAGGAGGAACATTTTAAAAAAGATCCAGGGAGAAGCGTGTCACCAATACTAAGGAAATGGAATTTTCAACAGGAAGTGGTAGATTTAAAAAATTGAGACAGAAAAATATTTATTGAATTGGTCCTGATATATTGCTAGGAGAGTATACTGTCTTGATCTGAGTAGGTGCACTGGTATGGTGAGAACTCTGATTGCAAAGCATGAAGGAGTCAATGAGGAGTAACTGTCAAGTTGAACCTAGATACTTGGCACTGGAAGGACAGGACGGAGATTAGTAGATGAGGATATAGAAACTAGTTGTGGGTAATTTATGCATTGTTTACCTTAAGAAGAAAGTTTACCAAGATATTAGTGTTTATGGAATTGGTGTACTGAGCAGTTTTTTTTAATTTATTTATTTATTTATTTATTTATTGAATCACCATGGGAAAGGTTACAAAGCTTTCAGGTTTAGGTCTCAGTCATGCAAATATCAAGCACATTTCCCTTTACCAAAACTTATTTTTTACCATGAAGAACCCCAATAAAACCCCACCCCCCACCCCTCCCAGTCCCTGTGGGGCAGATGAATTCTAGTTAACACTCTATCTGCTTTGATTAGATTCATTGTTTCAATAAAAGATTCACCACTGTTATTTAGAGTTTACCCCCCCACCCCCAAATCAGACATGCTGACAAAGCATTGTGAAGTGATTTGCTTTCTATAGCTGGGTTCAAGAATTATATGTTGGTTTTGGATTTCTGCTGTTTTACTTATTGACCCTGGAAGTATTTCTACTGAAAGTCAGATAGTTAAGAAATTGGTTTCTGTGCTGGAGAGCCGCTAGTGGGGGGCAACTGGTGGCCTCGGTAGGGCGTGAAGGACAGACCGGAACGCCCCCATTCCCATGAGGTTTTAGTCGCCCCCACTCCCCCGGCTCATACCTGCTGTCCACAAGGCTCCCATGCGGCCGCCATCTTTCTTTCCAGAGAGGAGAAGGCGACTGGGGCAACACCCTTTCCCCTCCGGACAGACATGATGGCCTGGATTAACGCATAGTCCGTTCACTTTTCTGCTCCAAGCTGCCGGGTTCTGCATTAAGTCCTTGTGCTTCTGGGGCCGTGGCCGTGCTGGAGAGCCGCTCGTGGGGGGCAACTGGTGACCTCGGTAGGGCGTGAAGGACGGACCGGAACGCCCCCCTTCCCATGAGGTTTTAGTCACCCCCGCACCCCCGGCTCATACCTGCTGTCCACAAGGCTCCCATGCGGCCGCCATCATTCTTTCCAGAGAGGAGAGGGCGACTGTGGCAACACCCTTTCCCCTCCGGACAGACCTGATGGCCTGGATTAACGCATAGTCCATTCACTTTTCTGCTCCAAGCTGCCGGGTTCTGCATTAAGTCCTTGTGCTTCTGGGGCCGTGGCCGTGCTGGAGAGCCGCTCGCGGGGGGCAACTGGTGACCTCAGTAGGGCGTGAAGGACGGGCTGGAACGCCCCCCTTCCCATGAGGTTTTAGTCGCCCCCACACCCCAGGCTCATACCTGCTGTCCACAAGGCTCCCATGTGGCCGCCATCTTTCTTTCCAGAGGGAGGAGGGCGGAAGGGACCAACACCCTTTCCCCTCCGGGCAGACATGATGGCCTGGATTAACGCATAGTCCTTTCACTTTTCTGCTCCAAGCTGCTGGGTTCTGCATTAAGTCCTTGTGCTTCTGGGGCTGTGGCCGTGCTGGAGAGCCGCTCGTGGGGGGCAACTGGTGACCTCGGTAGGGCGTGAAGGACGGACTGGAACGCCCCCCTTCCCATGAGGTTTTAGTCGCCCCCACTCCCCCGGCTCATACCTGCTGTCCACAAGGCTCCCATGCGGCCGCCATCTTTCCAGAGAGGAGAAGGCGACTGGGGCAACACCCTTTCCCCTCCGGACAGACCTGATGGCCTGGATTAACGCATGGTCCGTTCACTTTTCTGCTCCAAGCTGTCGGGTTCTGCATTAAGTCCTTGTGCTTCTGGGGCCGTGGCCGTGCTGGAGAGCCGCTCGCGGGGGTCAACTGGTGACCTCGGTAGGGCGTGAAGGACGGACTGGAACGCCCCCATTCCCATGAGGTTTTAGTCGCCCCCACTCCCCCGGCTCATACCTGCTGTCCAAGGCTCCCATGCAGCCGCCATCCTTCTTTCCAGAGAAGAGAGGGCGAATGGGGCAACACCCTTTCTCCTACGGCAGACTTGATGGCCTGGATTAACGCATGGTCCGTTCACTTTTCTGCTCCAAGCTTCTGGGTTCTGCATTAAGTCCTTGTGCTTCTGGGGCCGTGGCCGTGCTGGAGAGCCGCTCGCGGGGGGCAACTAGTGACCTCGGTAGGGCGTGAAGGACAGACCGGAACGCCCCCCTTCCCATGAGGTTTTAGTTGCCCCCACACCCCCGGCTCATACCTGCTGTCCACAAGGCTCCCATGCGGCCGCCATCTTTCTTTCCAGAGGAAGGAGGGTGGAAGGGACCAACACCCATTCCCCTCCGGGCAGACATGATGGCCTGGATTAACGCATAGTCCTTTCACTTTTCTGCTCCAAGCTGCTGGGTTCTGATTAAGTCCTTGTGCTTCTGGGGCCGTGGCCGTGCTGGAGAGCCGCTCGCAGGGGGCAACTGGTGACCTCATTAGGGCGTGAAGGACAGACCGGAACGCCCCCTTTCCCATGAGGTTTTAGTCGCCCCCACACCCCCGAATCATACCTGCTGTCCACAAGGCTCCCATGTGGCCGCCATCTTTCTTTCTAGAGAGGAGAGGGCGAATGGGGCAACACCCTTTCCCCTCCGGACAGTCATGATGGCCTGGATTAACGCATAGTCCATTCACTTTTCTGCTCCAAGCTGCTGGGTTATGCATTAAGTCCTTGTGTTTCTGGGGCTGTGGCCGTGCTCCAAACTTAACTATGATTTTCAGAGAGAAACGTTGGGTGGTTTACTTCCCATGGATCACTTTGTATATAGAGAGATGTCGCGTGGCCGCGTGAGTGGCCGCGTGGTTTTGAGGAAAAGTCCAAGTTCCCGCATACTCGAGCTGTGGTTGTAGAGGCTTCTGGTCACCGGGGTTCCATCTGGGGGAGGCGGGATGCGGTACCTACCCCATCTGGGGCTTCCCGATGATCTCGGCTCTTTTTGGAACCTGTTTTTTTTTTTTCCCCCCTTCGGGATCTGTGGATCCCGCCCTCCATGTTGTTCTTCTCTTCAGCTGAATGCTGTAAATATCACTGAGCAGTTTTTTATTAAAAAAAAAAAAAGGAAATGGGAAGATTTTTTTTTCTTTTTTTTTTTTCTTTTTTTTTTTATTATTTTTTTTTTATTTATTTATTGAATCACTGTGGGAAAGGTTACAAAGCTTTCAGGTTTATGTCTCAGTCATGCAAATATCAAACACATTTCCCGTTACCAATACTTATTTTTTCCCATGAAGAACCCCAATAAAACCCCACCCCCCACCCCTCCCCGTCCCTGTGAGGCAGATGAATTCTAGTTAACACTCTATCCGCTTTGATTAGATTGTTTCAATAAAAGATTCACCACTATTATTTAGAGTTTACCCCCCCCCCCCCCAAATCAGACATGCTGAAAAAGCATTGTGAAGTGATTTGCTTTCTACAGCTGGGTTCAAGAATTAAATGTTGGTTTTGGATTTCTGCTATTTTACCTATTGACCCTGGAAGTATTTCTACTGAAAGTCAGATAGTTAAGAAATTGGTTTCTGTGTTCTGGAGTCGTGGCCGTGCTGGAGAGCCGCTCGTGGGGGGCAACTGGTGGCCTCGGTAGGGCGTGAAGGGCGGAGCGAAACGCCCCCCTTCCCATGAGGTTTTAGTCGCCCCCACACTCCCGGCTCATACCTGCTGTCCACAAGGCTCCCATGTGGCCGCCATCTTTCTTTCCAGAGAGGAGAGGGCGAATGGGGCAACACCCTTTCCCCTCCGGCAGACTTGATGGGCTGGATCAACGCATAGTCCGTTCACTTTTCTGCTCCAAGCTGGTGGGTTCTGCATTAAGTCCTTGTGCTTCTGGGGCCATGGCCGTGCTGGAGAGCCGCTCGCGGAAATGGGAAGATTTTTAAAAGCTGTATATCGTATATAACTTAATCAGATATTCTGAGGAAATGGATAGACTGTATGCCTAAGGGAATAAATAGGGTGGGACATTGGGAGTAACTCCTAGGTATTACAAATATCACTGACTAGAAAACTGGAAAACTGAGATGGTCCCAGTTTGTTTCCACCTACAACTTCAACCTTAAATATAATGCTTTTGTTAGTCTGCTGTTATCTGTTGTAACTGTTAGGGATTTTTCCTGGTTGAAATTTTTCTCTTTTAACTAACTTGTATCTTATAATCCATAGCTATACTTTTGTTATTTGGACATTTTAGAGATAACATTAATGTCTTCCTTCCCTGTCTCATTTGTGAGATTTTACTGTGCAAGTACTATGTTGAACATAATTGTCTCATAATTTTTGCTTGTACTGTCTTTAATTTTTATAACCTTGTCTTTATTTTTTAAAGTTCTATCACTTTTCCAAAGAGAAAACAAAAGAAAACATCAAATCAAAAGGCACAGGAAGAATATGAACGGATACAAGCTCTGCGTGCTGCTAAGAAACAAGTAAGATCTGCTTTGGGAATATTTAATTCATTTATTTTATAAATTCTTATTTATCCTAAATATACCTATCAACTAAAGGTCCTCCCGTTGTTCGTCGATTTGCTCGAGCGGGCCCAGTAACGTCTCCATTGGAGACTTTGTTGTTACTGTGTTTGGCATATCGAATACATCACGGGTGGCTTGCCAGGCTCTGCCGTGCGGGCGAGATACTCTCGGTAGCTTGCCGGGCTCTCTGAGAGTGGTGGAGGAATCGAACTCGGGTCAACCATGTTGGCTGCGTGCAAGGCAGACGCCCTACTGCTGTGCTATCGTTCCAGCCCTACCTATCAACTAGAAGTGTGTGATATGCCCTTTGTTAACATTTGTTGAATAAGTAAATATTCTAAGCAGAAAATTTAAGTATATTCAAATTTTTGATTGGTTATTTTATAAACTTCATATTTCACCACTGTATCACTGTCATCCCGTTGTTCATTGATTTGCTTGAGCGGACACCAGAAACGTCTCATTCTTTCCTGCCCTGAGATTTTAGCAAGCTCTCCTTACTTGTCCTTCCCAACGCTGCCGATTGGAGGCTCTTTCAGGGTCAGGGGAATGAGACCATTATTGTTACTGTTTTTGGCATATCGAATACACCACGGGTAGCTTCCCAGGCTCTGCTGTGCAAATAATGTAAAATAAATTATTGTGGGCCTACTGTGGAGGTAGGCTGGACAGGTGGTTTGGGAAACGAGAAAATGGTGGTGGGATTGGTGTTGGAATACTGAATGCCGTAATGAATCATCCTGCACAACTTTGTAAATCGCAATGTTTATATAAAGTGTAGGAGGGAAATTTTACATAATAATTTTAATTATTTCATGTAAGCTCCAAAATAATTAGCACAGAATTTCTTTACAAGTTTTATTAATGACAAGTAAAGCATGATTATTTCCATAATGAGATCCAAATATAAAATAAAACTTAATGCAATGTTACTCCTGACTCTGCACTCAGGAGTTACTCCCGATGGTGCTTGGGAACCATATGGGTGGTGGGAATCTAACTGAGGTCAGCCACATGCAAGACAAGCACCCTGTCCACTGTACTTTTGCTCCAGGCCTGCAAATAAGTTTTTTTTTAAAAACCTCCGTAGATAAAAAAAAAAAAAAAAAGTACTGTTGTGGCTAGTATTTCTTCTCTGTATTGAAATTGTATTAACCTGTCACGTTAAAGCCCAGTGTATTTATCAAAAACAGGCCGTTTGCCCTGCATGCGGTCGACCCAGCTGACCCGGGTTTGATTCCTCCGCCCATCTCAGAGAGCCCAGCAAGCTACCAAGAGTATCTCGCCCACAGGGAAAGCCTCGCAAGCTACCTGTGAGGTATTCGATATGCCAAACACAGTAACAAGTCTCACAATGAAGACATTACTGGGCCCGCTCAAGCAAATTGATGAACAATGGGAAGACAGTGCTGCAGTGCTACTACTTTTTTTTTCATTTGTTTTTTGGTAGGGTATGCTCCCCATGATCAGGGATCACTCTTGGCTCTGTGCTCAGGGACTCGAATCTGGTGCCGGGGATTGAACCAGGGTTAAACACATATGAAGCGGTCCCTCAAGATCTCCTTCCTCTACTATTTGTCCAGTCCCCAAAATACTCCAAAGATGTCACTGGCACTATTTTGTATGTTTTAGCTTTAGAGTGCTTAATTTGGAAGTTCAACATCTAAGATTTTTATGATTAATTTTATTCTGGTGGCAGACTAGGATGAATCAGATTTCTTCATGGAAATACTGGAACTTTGTTATTCACCTTCACCTTATTCTCCTTTTTTTTTTTTAAGTACTGCTATTTATTCAGCCACTGATTAGCTGATTGAATTGGGCATGAACTCCACCTTAATTAATTAATTTATATTTATTTATTGAATCACTGTGGGAAAAGTTACTAAGCTTTCAGGTTTAAGTCTTGGTCATACAATGATCAAATCCCTTTCCCTTCACCAATACTCATTTTTCACCACCAAGAACCCCAGTATACTCCCCCTCCCACCCCTCCAAATGCCTGTGAGGCAGATGATTTCTACTTTTCTCTACATTGATTACATTCATTATTTCGACAAAAGATGCACCATTATTGTTTAGAATTTCCCCCCAAACAATCAGAATTGCTGAAAAGGCATTGTGAAATATTTTGTTTTCTATACCTGGTTATGAGAATCATATAATGTCACGCGGCCACGATTTTGGATTTCTGCAAAGAGCCAGATAATTACGAGATTGGTTTCTGTCTGTCCGGTGTTATGGCCGTGCTGGAGAGCCATTCGTGGGGGTTAACTCATGACCTCGGTAGGGCGTGAAGAATGAGCCGGTACCGCCCTCCTTCCCATGAGACTGCAGTTGCCCCATCACTGCCGGCTCATACCTGGCTTTCCAATAAGCTCTGAGGTGGCGGCCACCTTGCTGCCAGGGGGGAAAAAGGCGGAAGGGAGCAACACCCTTTCCCTCCCAAGGAGGCATGGCACTGTAGTTTAACGCATGGTCCATTCACTTTTCTGCTACAAGCTTCCGGGCTCTGGATTAAGTCCTTTTGCCTCTGGAGCCATGGCCGTGCCAGAGAACTGCTTGTGGGGGGGCAACTCGTAACTTCGGTAGGAAGTGAAGGACAAGCCGGTACCGCCCCCCTTCCCATGAGACTGCAGTTGCCCTGTCACCGCCAGCTCATACCTGGCTTTCCAATAAGCTCTGAGGCGGTGGCCACCTTGTATGCAGTCCAGATGCATTTCTGCCTAAAGCCACCGGGTTTCAAGATTTGTTTCTGAGTCTCCAGTATCATGGCTATTAATCAGCTTGATCAGGAGCCAGAGAGACCCTTTGTAGGCGGCGACTCGGGGTCTTTTTAGGATGGGGAGAAAGAGTTGGCTCCACCCCCATGTGGTGAGGCCTCGTGTGTCTCGTCAGTGCAGTCCCAAACCTGACTGTCCAGTGGCCTCTGGAGGATGGTGGTCACCAGGCCGCCAAGGGGAACAGGCCAGGGCACGAAACCTGTTCCCACCTGGAGTGGTCCAGCGCCAGTAACCTACTGCAGGAACAAGACGCATTTCTGCTAAGAGCCTTTGGGTTCCGTGATTTGTTTCTGAGTCTCTAGGATCATGGCCATTAAGCAGCTTGATCAGGAACCAGAGAGGCCATGCCTCCAATTATATAGCTGAGTCAGAGGTGGTTTGTGGGTGTGTCTCCCACATACCTAACTTTTGGCCGTTTACTTTCTTGGTAAACTTTGCCCCAAGTTTTTGGGGTCTGGCCAGAGGCACAGCAGCAATTCTGGGGTATCTAATAGTCTGACGTTGCCTGCTGATGCACTCACCTCACAGGTACAGATTGACCTGCTGGTAGCATTATTCTGCATTTTTAACCATAAGTAATAACTAGCATCTTTGGAAATAATCTACCATGCAATGAGGACTATCAAGTATTTAAAACTCTTCTAAAATTTGTATAAACTGTTAAGGCTCTTAATTTTGAAAATTGAGACTTTTTTAGGACTTGCAGATTTCATTGTTAATAGAAAACCCAGCATCATTGCCTTTGAGAAATCATTAAGAACATTCATTAATTAAACAGGGAGTATAGTTGATAAGGTTTTTTTTTTATTTGTTCAGAGAATCCTCATGGGGTGAGATTTCATATACCTACCTTCACAAATAGTTCCAGTTCTCTATTTGCTTTTAAAGACAAAAAAATGTATTCTGCCATATGAGAATATAAGCCTAAGTGATACGTTCATTCAGCCCAATGAAAAGTGTCACGGACTTAGAGTTTACAAAATCTGTGTGTGATTTACTAGTTATTTGGAATGGTTAGCATTCATTATTGAACATTGACTGCTTATTAGATGATTATTAGATGATGTTAATAAAAACTTGTCTGTCACATTTTAAAATATTGAAACTGATATATATGAAGTTATGAAACTGTATGAAGCTGTGATGTATGTGAAAGCTCTTTGCATTTTGTAAGGCATAATTCAAAAGTTTGTATGTTGCTCTAGCAAAATTTCTGGACTTGATCTACTGTTTTTGACTAATGAAAACTATATATGCTAATTTCAGGAATTTGAGAGAAGAAAACAAGAGAAAGAAGCAGCTCAGAGGCTCTACAAGAAGAAGAAAATGGAAGTGTTCAAAATATTGAGCAAAAAGACTAAAAAAGGCCAACCAAACTTGAATTTACAAATGGAATACCTTCTTAAAAAAATACAAGAAAAAAATTAAATTAGACATTTGTCTTACTGTTGTATATTTATTGTGTTCTTTTGTATGTGTAAATAGCTGTAATAAAATTTATCAACATAAATTCAATGGATAGACTATGCTAAATATAGAATGTCCACAAGTATTTTTGTATTACTAAAGGAACTATTTCTTTACATGCTTTCCATAGTATTATTAGTTTACCTCTGAATGAAGGTCGGTATTCAGAACCTTTTATTTGGCAGCAGGTTCAAGTACATAATACATTTTCATTATGTGAATATTTTATTATATGAAATAAAAGGCTTTGAAAATAGAACTTTTAAGCACTTCAAAGATTTTTTTTTGAGGGGGGTTACAACCTGCGATGCTTAGGGGCTACTCCTGGCTCTGCATTCAGAAATCACTCCTGGTGGTAGAGGGGGGCACCATTTGGGACACCAGGGGATCAAACCCCACTTGGCAATATGCAAGGCAAAAATATTGCTCACTGTACTATCACTCCAGCCCCATTTTTTTTTTCAATTTTAGTAATTGATGTTAAAATTTAATGTTTTAGGCAAAGATGGATTCCCTAGAACTTTACTTATTTAAGCATTTGTTCCAGGGGATGGGAATGAGCTTTTCAGAAACCTAAGAGGAATATACCTGTGCTGAAACTACCTTCTTTCCTCACTATGTAATGATTTGTTGTTCAAAAGCTGATGGCTGTGTGAAACCTATAGAAGCTGTTATTTACAGTGGAAGGTCATGTTAATATTTATAAGGGCCCTTATTAGGACAGTTACATTCACACCTTTATCTTAGTATTATCTGGCCCCAATAGTGGATGTTTTAATTAATTGTAGCCTCAGTAATCCTATTCTCATTGGTCCTCAGAGCATACTATTGTAGGATACTGGACTAGGGTCTCAGAAGAGAGATTTCATCTGGTTGAAGATACAAAGAAAATTTCTGTGAATGAGATGACATGTTGGGGAAAAAAAAACTGCATGAGAAGGGAATTAGAATTGAAGACCGTATAGGGGAAATGACAAAGGGAAGACAAGTCTGAGAGATAACTATATACATATATTTCTAATGGGAGCTAAGATTTCCTCTTAGTTCCACATGAAGGTTACATCCTCAGTCTAACACTCAAAGTCTACACTCAAGGTCTCCTTACTGCCTCCTTCTGCCTCGATTAATCCTAACCTCAGAAGATGTTGGGAAGCATGACCTGGCCTTCTGGCATAGCACATGTATTCTTCAGAAAACTAAGTATTAGTGAAGGGAAGAGGGTCTAGAACCAGACAGAACAACTGCTTTGGAGAGGAGGATATAATCTATGAATCTCCAATTTGTGCTACATAGGTCAGTATGTAGAGACATGAAATGGAGGAAGTGCTACACAAGTGAAGTTTTGTTTTTTTTTTTCCTTTTTGGGTCACATCCGGCGATGCACAGGGGTTACTCCTGGCTCATGCACTCAGGAATCACTCCTGGCAGTACTCGGGGGACCATATGGGATGCTGGGGATTGAATCTAGTTCGGCCGCCTGCAAGGCAAACGCCCTACCCGCTGTGCTACTGCTCCAGCCCCACAAGTGAAGTTTTGAAGGCCAGAGCTTGTGGTTTCAGACATCAGCTGATGTAATCTCTAGAGCCTTCTTAGTAGACCGTTAATAAGGTTTTTGTTAAAATGTGAGGTGGGCTTTTCATTGATTTTAGCAATCAAGGCTAAGCAGGCAAGTGTGTGTGTGTGTGTGTGTGTGTGTGTGTGTGTGTGTGTGTTTTATTTTACCTGAAGTTTACAGTAACTTTGCCCACAGAAAGATACTGGATGTAGTGATACTAGTATCTAAGCAAGAGTGCACAAGTGATTGTCAACAAAGAATCAGAATAGTGGTGCAGCGGGGCAGCAAGGGGTATTTGGCCGATGCACAAGTTTGAGCAGTGGCAAAGTGTAAACCCAAAAACTTGCCTCCTGGATGACTTCAGCTGATAGTAATGAGGTGAAGTTCCAGCAGTCACACTGCCTAAGCTGGCATTATCAGAGGCAAAGGCACGGGGAGTTAGCCTTGAGAATGCAGGCTGCTTCAGCTTAATCTAAGGATACTCATGAAATTCTTCAAAGAAGTAGATTGAACACTTCTGAAATTCATATGGAACAACAAACACCCACGAATACCTAAAGCAATTCTGGGAAAAAAGAAGATGGGAGGCATCACTTTCTCCAACCTCAAACTCTACTACAAAGCGCTAATCATTAAAACAGCATGATACTGGAACAAAGGCAGAGCAGTAGACCAATAGAACAGGGTTGAATATCCTCACACACATCCTCAAATGTATGATCATCTAATCTTTGATAAGGGATCAAGAAATGTGAAGTGGAGCAAGGAAACCTCTTCAACAAATGGTGCTGGCAAAACTGGACAGCTACATGCAAAAAAATGGGCTCAGACCTCTACCTAACACCATGCACAAAAGTCAGATCAAAATGGATTAAAGACCTCAACATCAGAGCAGAATCCATAAGGTACATTTAAGATAAGGTCGGCAAAACCCTCCACGATGTTGAAGCTAAAGATATCTTCAAAGATGACTCACCACTGACCAGGCAAGTGGAAAAAAAGATAAACAAATGGGACTATCTTAAATTAAGAAGCTTTTGTACATCAAAAGAAACAGCAACCAGAATACAAAGACAATCTACAGAATGAGAAAGGATATTCACCTAATACCCATCGGATAAAGGGTTGACATCAAGGATATACATGGCACTGGTTGAACCCCACAAGAAGAAAACATCCAACCCCATAAGGAAATGGGGTGTCAAAATGAACAAAAGCTTTCTCAAAGAAGAAATCCGAAAATGCTCTACATCACTAATTATCAGGAAGATGCAGATCAAAACAGTAATGAGTTATCATCTCACACCATAGAGACTGGCACACATCCAAAAGAACAAAAGCAACTGGTGTTGGCATGGATGTGGGGAGAAAGGGACTCTCCTTCACTGCTAGTGGGAACGCTGACTGGTTCAGCCCTTTTGGAAAACAGTATGGACATTTCTCAAAAAATTCGAAATTGAGTTCCCATTTGACCTAGCAATGCCACTTCTGGGAATATATCCTGGAGATGCAAAAATGTATAGTAGAAATGACATCTACACTTGTATGTTCATTGCAGCACTGTTTACCTAGCAAGAATCTGGAAAAAAAAAACCCGAATGCCCAAGAACAGATGACTGGCTAAAGAAACTTTGGTACATCTACACAATGGAATACTACACAGCTGTTAGAAAAGATGAAGTCATGAAATTTGCATATAAGTGGATTAACATGGAGAGTTCTCCTCCGGGATCTGGATTTTATAGTCTCTGACGAGAACAGTGCAGTCTTTTGCCCCCGCACCTGGGTGTCCCTCGCCGGGACCCCTTGGAGGGGAGCGGGTCGAGCTTTCCTCCCCGCCCCGACCAGGGCTCCGGCAGCCGAAGACCTCCAGGACCAGCCACCACCATGCTGAGACCACTCTCCGCACACATGAAGGTACTGGCAGAGGGACAAAGCCACGCGGGTTCCGGGGCCGAGACCTCCAAGCCTACTCGAATTGGAGTCGAGCATCTTCCACCCAGATCCTCCAAATTCCAGTAGGCGGAGGTCACACCCACCACCTGGCCCCCTGGCGCCGTGTAATCCCATCAGCGGCCAAGACTCAGAGACTATAAAATCCAGATCCCGGACGAGAACAGTGCAGTCTTTTGCCCCCGCACCTGGGTGTCCCTCGCCGGGACCCCTTGGAGGGGAGCGGGTCGAGCTTTCCTCCCCGCCCCGACCAGGGCTCTGGCAGCCGAAGACCTCCAGGACCAGCCACCACCATGCTGAGACCACTCTCCGCACACATGAAGGTACTGGCAGAGGGACAAAGCCACGCGGGTTCCGGGGCCGAGACCTCCAAGTCTACTCGAATTGGAGTCGAGCATCTTCCACCCAGATCCTCCAAATTCCAGTAGGCGGAGGTCACACCCACCACCTGGCCCTCTGGCGCTGTGTAATCCCATCAGCGGCCAAGACTCAGAGACTATAAAATCCAGATCCCGGAACCGCGCAGCCACATTTGCGGCCGCGCGACATCTTATCAGAACTTTTCTTTATGACATCTTATTATCTCATTCCTACTTTGGACAAACTTGCAGGCTATCGAATGTAGCCTGCCCACAGGGCAGAGTCTGGCAAACTCCCCGTGGCCTACCAAATATGCCAAATACCAGTAACAATGATGGGTCTCATTCTCCTAAAGAGCCGTGAATATAATCTCAGGGCTAGGATGAAAGAGACGTTACTGGGGCCTGCTCGAGGCAATCGACGATTAACAGGATGATGAAACATGGAGAGTATCTGTCACTGTCACTGTCCTCCCGTTGTTCATCGATTTGTTCGAGCGGGCACAGTAACGTCTCCATTGTGACAATTGTTACTTTGTTTGGCATATCGAATACATCACAGGTAGCTTGTCAGGCTTTGCCATGCGGGCGAGATACTCTCAGTAGCTTGCCGGGCTCTCTCAGAGGGGTGGAGGAATAGAACTCGGGTCGGCTATGTTGGCCACTTGTAAGGCAATCGCCCTACCCGCTATGCTATTGCTCCAGCCCTATGGAGAGTATCATGCTAAGTGAAATGAGTCAGAAAGAGAGGGACTGACATAGGAAGATAGCACTCATTTGTGAAATATAAAGTAACAGTATGGGAGATTTGCATCCAAGAATAGTAGAGATGAGTACCAGGAGGATTACTTCATGGCACGGAAACCAGTCTCACATGCTGGGAGAAAAGGCAGTTCAGATAGAAAAAGGACCACCAAGTAAAAGATGCTTAGAGGACCCACTAGGGATGGGAGATGTATACTGAAAGTAGACTATAGGCCGAACATGATCACCACTTAATACCTCCACTGCAGACCCCAACACCCTAAAGGAGAGAGCGAGTAAAAAGGGAATCCACCTGCCACAGAGGCGGAGGGGTGGGGGGGAAGTGTGGGAGGGGGATGGGAGAGATACTGGGAA